GACGCGCTAACTCTTGAACGAACCGACAGATCTTCTTAAAACTTAGCAAGTACACTGATCCTCTCGACAACTGGTTGGAGGAGTCTGATAATGGTGGTGACCCGGTTGAAATTGGCTACACTGAAGCTAGTTTTAGACTTTGGTATGTGGTCTTGTCACTAGCTAGCATGAGACTATTTTTCTAGTTTACGAGTACGGTGTTATGTCTGGTCGCGGCGTTCGAGGACTTATCAAGTGGTCGCTCTTGTCAACACGTTTATATACAGCGTCTTGTCTTAACTCACCAGTTGCTGTAATTGCACAAAGTTAGAAGACTCTGGGTGCCTTCTGGACGTGTTCTTTGTGGGATCAATATATCAACTCGTGTCTTTATGTTTGTTTAGAAAATATATTCCCTACATGTAGTTTTTAGAATTAGTCTGAATCAAAAAAATATGTATTAAATTTAGTTATAAAGTAAAGGTACAGTCACTCCATGCAGGTGGCTGGTTCCTTAACTGACTGTAGATCTGAAGTGAAACGTTTTTAGAAAATATTTAATCTAATCCTACACCTGTGGGCCTTAGTTTACTGATGAATATTTAAAAAAGTTTAATTTTCAAGGTTTCCACTCGGCTGGTCCCGTCAAATGTGTGTAGATGTTCGGTGCTGTTGAAGCTGGTAGAGGTGAGATAGATGCTATATTAACCTAACCTAACCTAACCTAACCTAACCTAACCTAACCTAACACTCAGTTTCTACCAACTTCAAATACCATTTTTACTCCATATTTCCTTCTGTTTTTATTTTTATCTTGTGTTTCTTCTCTACCTCTTCCCCTTTCTTCTTTCCTGGTATCTTTGCCTACTCTCACAATACCCCTCACCTCTCACAATACCCTTCACCTCACCTCTCACAATACCCCTCACCTCACCTCACCTCTCCTGGCCACCCCTCACCTCCACCTCTCTGTACCCTCACCCTCACCCCTCACCTCCCCACCTCTCCCCAGTACCCCTCCCTCACCTCACCTCTCACAATACCCCTCACCTCACCTCTCACAATACCCCTCACCTCACCCTCACAATACCCCTCACCTCACCTCTCACCTCACCTGCTCGCACACCCCTCACCTTTCCCCTCACTACCTCAAGCACACACCTCTTCAATTTTCTCCCCTCTACCCCTCCCTCCCTTGCGGTACTCCCCTCTACATAACCCTCTCACTTCCCCTCTCATACCTTCCCATTTCCTGTGCCCTTATTCTCTCCCCTTCATCTACCTCATTTATTACTGTCTCCCATGCACCTGTCTTTTTAATTTTTCTCTCATAATCGTTTAGCTTATTATTATTTTATTATTATTATTATTATTATTATTATTATTATTATTATTATTATTATTATTATTATTATTATTATTATTATTATTATTATTATTATTATTATTATTATTTTTATTATTGGTGTTATTATTATTATTATTATTATTATTATTATTATTATTATTATTATTATTATTATTATTATTTTTATTATTATTATTATTATTATTATTATTATTATTATTATTATTATTATTATTATTATTATTATTATTATTATTATTATTATTATTATTATTATTATTATTCCCAAATCTTTACTTTTAATTACAAGTCAAGTTTCCTATTCAGATTCTAAAAATTTGATTCATTATTATTTTTTTTTCGTAATAAAAACCTAAAGAAAAAAATATTACATTAACATATAAAGAGAATTTTCTGTGGTAGAAAATGGAGGTCAGGCAGGTGTAACTCAGGCAAATTTAAGTCTCGGTTCCCTGTGGGTGAAAATTAATGGCCTTTTCAAGCGGTCGACTTAGCAGGTAATTGGCTCACGCTTTCAGTAAGATACAAATGTGGAATTACAGAACAGTGTGTTTGGTTCGTTCGTTATTATGGAGCAGTTTGTGGTTCGTTGTTATGGAGCAGTGTTTTTGCCTCGTTCGTTGTTATGGAGCAGTTTGTGGTTCGTTATTATGGAGCAGTGTTTGTGGGTCGTTCGTTATTATGGAGCAGTGTTTGTGGTTCGTTATTATGGAGCAGTGTTTGTGGTTCGTTCGTTATTATGCAGCAGTGTTTGTGGTTCGTTCGTTATAATGGAGCAGTGTTTGTGGTTCGTTATTATGGAGCAGTGTTTGTGGTTCGTTATTACGGAGCAGTGTTTATGCCTCGTTCGTTATTATGGAGCAGTGTTTTGGTTCGTTATTATGGACAGTGTTTGTGGGTCGTTCGTTATTATGGAGCAGTGTTTGTGGTTCGTTATTATGGAGCAGTGTTTGTGGTTCGTTCGTTATTATGCAGCAGTGTTTGTGGTTCGTTCGTTATAATGGAGCAGTGTTTGTGGTTCGTTATTATGGAGCAGTGTTTGTGGTTCGTTATTACGGAGCAGTGTTTATGCCTCGTTCGTTATTATGGAGCAGTGTTTTGGTTCGTTATTATGGAACAGTGTTTGCGGTTCGTTACTATGGAATAGTGTTTGTGGTTCGTTATTATGGAGCAGTGTTTTTGCCTCGTTCGTTATTATGGAGCAGCTTGGTTTCGTTATTATGGAGCAGTTGTTTGTGGTTCGTTCGTTATTATGGAGCAGTGTTTGTGGTTCGTTATTATGGAGCAGTGTTTGTGGTTCGTTATTATGGAGCAGTGTTTGTGAACTGTTCGTTATTATAGAGCAGTGTTTGCGATTCGTTCGTTATTATGGAGCAGTGTTTGTGAACTGTTCGTTATTATAGAGCAGTGTTTGTGGTTCGTTATTATGGAGCAGTGTTTGTGGTTCGTTCGTTATTATGGCGCAGTGTTTGTGGTTCGTTATTATGGAGCAGTGTTTGTGGTTCGTTATTATGGAGCAGTGTTTGTGGTTCGTTATTATGGAGCAGTGTTTGTGGTTCGTTATTATGGAGCAGTGTTTGTGGTTCGTTATTATGGAGCAGTGTTTGTGGTTCGTTATTATGGAGCAGTGTTTGTGGTTCGTTATTATGGTGTTTGTGGTTCGTTCGTTATTATGGAGCAGTGTTTGTGGTTCGTTATTATGGAGCAATGTTTGTGGTTCGTTCGTTATTATGGAGCAGTGTTTGTGGTTCGTTTGGAGCAGTGTTTGTGGTTCGTTCGTTATTATGGAGCAGTGTTTGTGGTTCGTTATTATGGAGCAGTGTTTGTGATTCGTTCGTTATTATGGAGCAGTGTTTGTGGTTCGTTATTATGGAGCAGTGTTTGTGGTTCGTTCGTTATTATGGAGCAGTGTTTGTGGTTCGTTATTATGGAGCAGTGTTTGTGATTCGTTCGTTTATTATGGAGCAGTGTTTGTGGCTGTTCGTTATTATGGAGCAGTGTTTGTGGTTCGTTCATTATTATGGGACAATGTTATCAAAAATTTCACCACATCCACATCATCATCATCATCATCATCATCACCACTATTATCCACATCATCATCATCACCACCACTATTATCCACATCATCACCACCACCACTATTATCCACATCATCATCATCACCACCACTATTATCCACATCATCATCATCAACACCACTATTATCCACATCATCATCATCATCACCACCACTATTATCCACATCATCATCATCATCACCACCACTATTATCCACATCATCATCATCATCATCACCACTATTATCCACATCATCATCATCATCATCACCACCACCACCACCAACAACCACCTCATCACCATCCCCATTAATCATCACCATCATCATTTCTTAAAGCAAATTACCTATATAGCATAGATAGATGGCACATAGGTAGTGGATAGTTGGCTGACTGGGGTACGGCCTCTCTGCGCCCTAGGTTCGACCCTTCCAGCCACGTAGCTTTAAACTAAACTACTTTTTTCCCCAAACTTATAATTACCAGCTGCTACCCTAAGTCAGATTTTTATTGCATATTTTTATTTTGTTTTTAATTTATTAGTATTTTTTTTATTTGTGGTAGTCACCCTAACTCCTTCGTCCAAGCTTGGTAGGGTAGGTTTGATTAGGTTTGGTTAGGTTAGGTTGAGGTAGGTTTGGTTAGGTTAGGTTAGAATAAGTTAGGTTAGGTTAAGGTTTATTTGGTTAAAATACATTAGATTAGGTTAGGTTTAATTACCATATACCTATCCCACTTTATTGTTATTATTTTTATTATTATTATTATTATTATTATTATTATTATTATTATTATTATTATTATTATTATTATTATTATTATTATTATTATTATTATTATTATGGAGCGGTTGGACCAGGACACATCACGATTCCTGAGCACCAAATTCACTCATAGGCTCGCCTACTGTACCCAACTAACTTAGTGGTTTAATTTGGCAACTCGAGGATCCAAATTGCTGAGGTTAGCCTGCAGTTCTCCCCTTCGGCCATTGGAAGTTGGCTGCTATCGAGGTATAATGCCCTGGCCACTTTGATTGGAGGTCATTTGGGCCCTTACGAGTTTGGATTGGGGTCTATTTGGATAGGAGTATTTGATGGTTGGGGTCCTCAGTTCTATGGTTAGATTAGGTTATGGTGGAAGTTTGGTAGGGTTTTGGTGGAGGGCCAGTGTGAGGCGTCACTGTCAGGAGGTGATGTGACTCAATGGTGTGTGTGTGTGTGTGTGTTAAAAAGTTGTTCCGTAGTTTGTGTTTCTGCCTCCATTCAAAAAAAAAGCAATTAACCACACTCACCTTCGTCTCAAAAAAAAATCAATTTAACTCACACATTCTTTCTCCACCCGATCTCAAAAAAAAACAAAAAAAAAAACAACTACAACCAAAACAAAAGAACAACACCATAAACACCATCTAACCTCATCATAGACCCTTCATATCTCAACCTTGTAAACACCATACAAAGACAAAAACAAAAACAAATAAACACTCACCCCCTCTCTCATTCCCTCTCATCTCCCTCTCTCTCTCTCTCTCCCTCTCCTTGGCATCCACTCCTAATGATTGTTGTACCATATGCGTCTCCTCCTGACAGCTGCTCCTGACGCGGTGGAGGACAGACAAACGTTCCGGGAGATGTGGCTGAAGGAGATGTTCGAGAAGGCGTCCAAGAATTCCTCGGGCGGTTTCATCGACCAGACCACCTGCATTAAACTCATCAAGAGGCTCGACTCTCAGGTGGCTATGGAACGAGTCAGGCAGAAGTTACAGGTGAGTTGGATGGATGGATGGATGGTCTAACGGATAGGTGGTGGATAGTGTATGAAAATTGGTTGATGGATAAAGTGACTGGGCTGAGTTGATGAATGAATGGATCGATAGGTGGATAGATGGTGCGATTGATGGAGGGTGAATGGATGGATTGATGGTGGGTCGATACTAGATGGGATGGATGGTAGATCGATAGGTTGATGGGTAATGTGACTGGGTTGATGGATGGTGGTTTAATGGTGGATGGTGTGACTAATGGATGGATGAATGGATAGATGGTTAATGCCTTGATGGATGGTGTGATTGGTGATAGGTTTGACTGTGGCTGATGGATGGTGGATAGTGAATTGATGGGTGGTAGATGGTTGGTGGATTGACGAATATTGGATGGATGGTGTAATGGGCAGTAGATGGGTGTTGGTGGATAGAGTAAAGGAATGTTGCCAAGTAGCAATTTTTAGATGAATATTTGATACACACGTGAATATCATCTCTCTCTCTCTCTCTCTCTCTCTCTCTCTCTCTCTCTCTCTCTCTCTCTCTCTCTCTCTCTCTCTCTCTCTCTCTCTCTCTCTCACCCTGCCATCTCTCTTTCAGGAGTTCGACATGGGTAAGACAGACGGGTGTCGAGGCCTGATAGACAGCCAAGAATTTATCGACATGTTTAAAGAAATAGCTACGAGACCGGAGATATACTTCCTGTTAATAAGGTAAGAAGGCCACTCACCCCCTACCATACGTGAATAACTCTCTCTCTCTCTCTCTCTCTCTCTCTCTCTCTCTCTCTCTCTCTCTCTCTCTCTCTCTCTCATTATTAAAGTATCAAAACAGATTAAAACATCAATAGAAAAAAAAAGATATGAAGTCATAAAATGGTATTAGAAAATAAATATAAAATATGATGGAAAATAGAAGAAAAAATTAGACAGAAAAAAAATTAGTTTGAAATTGACTGCTATTATTTTTTTTATTGTTTATCAGACAAAATACTACTACTACTACTACTACTACTACTACTACTACTACTACTACTACTACTACTACTACTACTACTTACTAGTATCAAATTACTCTTAATTAAAAATTCCTACCACATAATGTCTCAGTGTTAAGACCTTCCTCGACTCACGTATTGGAAGACCTTAGTTCCTGAAGCACATAAAATGCATAAACACACCAACACAGTGTTTATCCTCGGCTCTAGAAAAGACTTAGCAAATCTTAAGGGCGAAGTCAATCACTTATACCAGAACTCGTCAGGCAGGTGTCAACAAGAGAGATGTGTTTGCCTTGTGTTTACCTTGTGTTTACTTTGTCTTTACCTTGTGTGTATTGCGTATTTACATTTTGTTTACTTTTCAGATACGCCAATAAGGACTACTTAACGCTCGAAGACTTTCATTTGTTTTTGGAGGGTGAACAAGGGGTGAGTGTGAGATTCTCTTTGTGGGTATTGTAAAGTGTGTTTTGAGTGGGGCCTGTAGAGTGTGGTAAGGTGTGGTGAGCTGTGTTAGGGCGTGGCGAGGCGTGTTAAGGCGTGTTAGGGCGTGGTGGTAACCGGGGTAATTTTTTTTGCATTTATTATTTTATATCCAATAGCTCTTGTTATATCGATTTATATAAGCTTAACTTTGATGTGTATAACCCGTGAGAGGTGAGGTAGGTTAACTTAGATTAAGGTTAATTTAGGTTATACTTTGATTAAGGTTAGGTCAAGTTAAATCTTAGTTCAGAGTTGTAAACTGACTGCCAACGCCCCCTCCCCCCCCAACTACGCCCCTTAGTGTTTAATTAGCTACTGCACAAAGGTGGTTGTTAGGACTGCAGTGTAAGTAACTGAGACTACTGCATCATCAAAGGTATATTAAGCATCGTAAACTTTGGTAATCCAGAGTACAAGTTCACTTATACTATGTAATATATAAAAGAAAATGTAAATACAATGTAGCAGGGCAGACTAAACTAAAAAGAAAACCTCTGGCAATATTATTTGTCTAAATTTTCTGTGAATATAATCACCGTCTTATGAACATTTTATTTTAACGTAACATTATTCAACTTACAGAATTAAGCTGAATAACATAAATATATGTAGAAATTGCATGATAGTAACCCTGTTGAAATACAAGTGTTTGTTTTTACAATATAATTTGCTCCAAAAACACGGGAACATAATTTCACAGGATTATAATGTAAAAATCCAATGTAATTTTTTCTCTTAGCATTTTATTTCGTGAAATCAGGTTTCTCTCTCTGTGCTTTTAGAGCATTTTTTTTTATGAACATGAATTTATGTTTTAAGAGAAAGAAATATGTCTTATTTTTACATATTTTCCTTGTTGGGTTATGCTATTTTTGTTTAAGTTTGCAATAATAATAATAATAATAATAATAATAATAATAATAATAATAATAATAATAATAATAATAATAATAATAATAATAATAATAATAATAATAATAATAATAATAATAATAATAATAATAATAATAATAATAATAATAATAATAATAATAATAATAATAATAATAATAATAATAATAATAATAATATTAATAATAATAATAATAATAATAATAATAATAATAATAATAATAATAATAATAATAATAATAATAATAATAATAATAATAATAATAATAATAATAATAATAATAATAATAATAATAATAATAATAATAATAATAATAATAATAATAATAATAATCATCCTTGGTGAGATAAGCTGACAACTACCCACACAGTGTATGTCAACTTCGAAAGAAAAGTAAATAATTAAACACCAAATTGTCATGTAATAAAGAAGAACAAATACTGTACAGCCTATCTTGTTACAGTAGATATTTATTGTCTTGATATCAGAGAACACAGGTGGTGAGACAGCAGTACTGAGAGAGGTTATTTCACAGCAGTAGAGAAATGTGGAGGCAAATTTTACGACTACGCCTCCACTACTTCTCGGCATTTGTACGTGATTGTTTATGTTCCGTACTGAGCTAAAAATGTTCCAGGGATGGCAACAAAAGTACTGATGAATTACTGGTACATGTACAGCGGCCTCCAAGTGTGAGTTGCTGGTACATGTACAGCGGCTTCCAAGTGCGAGTTGCTGGTACATGTACAGCGGCCTCCAAGTGTGAGTTGCTGGTACATGTACAGCGGCCTCCAAGTGTGAGTTGCTGGTACATGTACAGTGGCCTCCAAGTGTGAGTTGCTGGTACATGTACAGTGGCCTCCAAGTGTGAGTTGCTGGTACATGTACAGCGGCCTCCGAGTGTGAGTTGCTGGTACATGTACAGTGGCCTCCAAGTGTGAGTTGCTGGTACATGTACAGCGGCCTCCAAGTGTGAGTTGCTGGTACATGTACAGTGGCCTCCAAGTGTGAGTTGCTGGTACATGTACAGCGGCCTCCAAGTGTGAGTTGCTGGTACATGTACAGCGGCCTCCAAGTGTGATTCGCTGGTACATGTACAGTGGCCTCCAAGTGTGATTCTGGCTGGTACATGTGCACATGTGGGCCTCCAAGTGTGAATACAGCGGCTCCACATGTGTGAGTGTGATTCTGGTACATGTACAGCGCCTCATGTGAGTTACTGGTACATGTACAGCGGCCTGTGAGTTGCTGGTACATGTACAGCGGCCAAGTGTGATTCGCTGGGTACATGTACAGTGGCCTCCAGTGTGTGATGTTACTGGCACATGTACAGTGGCCTCCAGGTGTGATGTTACTGGCACATGTACAGTGGCCTCCAGGTGTGATGTTACTGGTACATGTACAGTGGCCTCCAGGTGTGATGTTACTGGCACATGTACAGTGGCCTCCAGGTGTGATGTTACTGGCACATGTACAGTGGCCTCCAGGTGTGATGTTACTGGCACATGTACAGTGGCCTCCAGGTGTGATGTTACTCCTTATATGTACTATACAAACACTGACAAAAACACAAGTACTAGGAAACAGCCCTGTTAATCAGTTCCCTATACTAGCCACACGAGTATTGCCACGGTGCCACACAAGCCAGGGAGGCACTATAGGGCGTAACATCACACCTGAAGGCGACTGTACAATGCTTGCCTGACAGTACCCAGAGAACGTGGGGCCGTGTTAACCAAGAAACTGCGGTAAGTTGTAATCAAAGATAACTATAGGAAGATGGTGGGTAACATACACGAATTCTTGTGATCATCCTCGCCTGGGTCCTAGTAAAGGGTAGATTATCTCCTCCTTCACGCATCACATCAACTGGAAAATCTTCATACATCACTATTCACAGGGAGCTGACACAATGTGGTCTGTCAGGCGGGTGATAATGACACAGTCGCTGGAGAGATGAGCCATCAGCATAATAATGAATTTGATCATGTAAATTGTCCCCTGAGTGTTGTGAGGACGGGGAGTCAGACCCACCGACACGTTGACAACTAAATATAAGAAAATTTGTTTGCATTAGTCTGCCCCGTTATACGTGTGGAAAATATACATAACACGGGAATGATTTACGAGAATATGTAAAATGTGTAAATAGATAAGTATATTCCTTTTGATATATATATTTTACCACTATTTTTTTTTACATATTTCTTTTCATTTTTGTTTATTTTATTAAATCGATGAGTGATATAAAGGAACAGTTTTAGTGATTATAAAAAATCTAGAAAATAAAAATATTAAGTAGTTTTTTGTCCTCATTCTCATCTTTTTTTTTCCCAGTTGGCGGGGTTGACGTCGGACAAAGTGGCTGAAATGATAGAAAAATACGAACCGGCACCTGAGGCCAGAAAAAACCGGCAAATGCTTATAGACGGTGAGTCAGTGTTGCAAGGGTGAGTCAGTGTTGCAATGGTAAGTCAGGGTTGAAATGTTGAGTCAGGGCTGCAATGGTGAGTCAGAGTTGCAATAGTGAGTCGACGTTGCAAGGGTGACTCGGTATTTAAATGAATAATCAATGTAGCAAGGGTGATTCAATATTACGATGGTAAGAGAAAGTTGCAAGGATAAGTCAGTGTTGCAAGGATGAACCACTTCCAGTACTTTTGCAAGAGTGAATATGCTAACACAAAAGTGAGTATGTTATTGCAAGACTAATCTCCAATAATGCAGAGATGAGTCCATATTGGGGGCCAGGGTCATTCCATTGTTGCAAGGAATAGAGAATACGCTGTTTCAAATACGTGAATAAATGTTGCAAGGAGGAAATTCTGCATGGAAGACTCTTTTGTGGCAAGTGAGTCTCCAATATTGTGAGAGGAGACTATTGTTAAGGTGTGAATCTGGCTCTTTTTTTTGTGTTTTTACAAGTGAAGGAATCCAGTGTTGCAAACCGAAACTCGTCTATTGCAAGAAGATATCTGTATTGTCGTGTGATCTTGCAGCGTGGGGTATAACTTGGTGTTGTTCTTGGGAGTATTACTGTGTGTTGATCCAAGGAAGTTTACCCCCTCCCTCACCCTATCACCCCCCTCCCTCATCTCCCTCTCCCTCAGACTTACCCTACCTCCCCTCTCCCTCAGACCCCATCTCCTCCCCACTGACCCCATCTCCCTCCCCCAGACTGACCCCTCTCCCTCCCCAGACCCCACATCTCCTCTCTGACCCCACATCTCCCTCCCCAAGACTGACCCCAAATCTCCTCCCCAAGACTGACCCCATCTCCCTCCCCAAGACTGACCCCCACCTCCCTCTCCCTCAGACTAACCCCACATCTCCTCCCCAAGACTGACCCCCACATCTCCCTCCCCCAAGACTCTCCCCTCCCCAAGACTGACCCCATCTCCCTCCCCTGACCCTCTCCCTCCCATGACTGACCCCTCATCTCCTCCCCAGACCCCTCATCTCCCTCCCCAGACTAACCCCACATCTCCCTCCCCCAGACTGACCCCAAATCTCCCTCCCCCAGACTGACCCATCTCCCTCCCCAGACTAACCCCCATCTCCTCCCCCAGACTGACCCCAAATCTCCCTCCCCAGACCCCCAACTCTCCCTCCCAGACCCCCCACATCTCCCTCCCCAAGACTGACCCCTCATCTCCCTCCCCAGACTAACCCCACATCTCCCTCCCCAGACTGACCCCAAATCTCCCTCCCCCAGACTGACCCCATATCTCCTCCCCCAGACTAACCCCCACATCTCCTCCCCAGACTGACCCCAAATCTCCCTCCCCCAGACTGACCCCTCATCTCCTCCCCAGACTAACCATCTCCCTCCCCAGACTACCCCCAGACTGACCCCCACATCTCCTCCCCAGACTAATCCCCACATCTCCCTCCCCCCAGACTAACTCCCACAGCTCCCTCCCCCCAGACTGACCCCACATCTCCCTCCCCCAGGTTTCACGAGGTACCTGATGAGCGATGAGTGTGACCTGTTTGACCCCAGCCAGCGTGAGGTGTGCCAGGACATGACTCAGGCTCTAGGTCACTACTTCATCTCCACCAGTCACAACACCTACCTATTGGAGGACCAACTCAAGGGACCCTCCAGCGTCGACGGCTACATCCGCGTCCTTACCTGCGGCTGTAGGTGTGTCAAAGGTGAGAGCCAATTATATCACGTGACACCTGGATCAGCATGTCTAAACCGAGCAGATTCCTCTTATATGGGAATTACAGTGTTACTTATATACAGTATATTGTTCCTTATGTAATGTTTCTTTATATGCAGTGTTTCTTATAGGTAGTGTTCCTTATATGTAGTGCTTCTTATATACAGTGTTCGTTATATGTAGTTTTCTTTATATGTAGTGCTTCTTATATGTAGTGTTCCTTATAGGTAGTGTTCCTTATATGTAGTGTTCCGTAAGTAGTGTTCCTTATAGGTAGTGTTCCTTATATGCAGTGTTTCTTAGTGTTGCTTATTATGTAGTGTTCCTTATAGGTAGTGTTCCTTATATGTAGTGTTTCTTAGTGTTCCTTATTATGTAATGTTCCTTATTATGTAGTGTTCCTTATAGGTAGTGTTCCTTATATCTAGTGTTCCTTATTATGTAGTGTTCCTTATAGGTAGTGTTCCTTATATGCAGTGTTTCTTAGTGTTCCTTATTATGTAGTGTTCCTTTTAGGTAGTGTTCTTTATATGTAGTGTTTCTTAGTGTTCCTTATTATATAGTGTTCCTTATAGGTAGTGTTCCTTATTATGTAGTGTTCCTTATAGGTAGTGTTCTTTATAGGTAGTGTTTCTTATATACGGTGTTCCTTATATACAGAGTCAAGTGAGACAGAATGCTTATCCGTCAGGGAGGATCATGTGAAGGTCCGGACAATTAGGTGTTTCGGTGCTGGGAGAATGTTACCTGGCCTTCCCCTACAGTGTATATGTACTCTTGTGTACTGTTATCCTCCTATGTACTCTTTTTTTACCCGTATGTACTCGTATATACTCTTGTGTACCCGTATGTACTCATTTTCCCCAGGTGATCGCGTCCAATTTTTAACTAAATCAACGGTGCTTAACGTCAATGGTCGTGGGTCAGCGTGGTGGTATTATTGTGTGTGTGTGTGTGATTCTCTCTCTCTCTCTCTCTCTCTCTCTCTCTCTCTCTCTCTCTCTCTCTCTCTCTCTCTCTCTCTCTCTCTCTCTCTCTTTGTTTACCTATTTATCTATCTCACATATGCGGCATCCAATAACCTAACTTAAAATAACTCTACCCTACCCTATACCCTACCCTACCCTACCCTACCCTACCTTACCTTACCCTACCCTTCCTTCCCGTGCCATATTTCCCGTCGAAAATATCTCCATCCTTATCAACAGCGAGATGGAAATAGTGAGTAAACACGGGCAGAAGGAGATGACATGGGCTTATATCGTGTACTTCCAGGTTATATAGTTTATATCTGAGTGCTTGTATATAAACCTTATGTAAATGTATTCGTGGAGATTTTTCTATGTGGGTTGGGATGTACGAAGAGGAAGAGTTACCTGTAGAGGAAATAGATTTACCTGAAGAGAGAGCAGGAACACATGGTTAGATCCTCGTTAAAGATATAAACACCGGAACATGTACTCTGCAGACTGAAATTAATAGACACAGGTTATCAGTTATTTTCACTCAAGCTTCACACACACACACACACACACACACACACACTCAGTCATTTCTACGATTATTTGCTGAGGCTTGCCCAATGGTCACCCAATTTTCCAGTTGTCAATATCGGTATTTATTTAATACTCAGTATGTTAGGGCGGCCGTGGGGGGATGGGGGTATTTATATATATCTGTGTCTATTGGTCTAGTTGAGGCAAGTTTTGTGTGTGTGTGTGTGTGTGTGTGTAAGAGAGATACACACACATAGATGAATTGGATTGTAGTTATATATAGAGATGGATACATGGATAGCTAGGCAAGCGGGTATACGGAGAGAAAGATAGACAAACGGGTGCACGGACAGACGTACAGGTAGACAGGTAAACAGACCGACAGACACAAACAGAAACAAACGGTCAGGGTGGATAACATCATGATTAGCCTTACAAATCCTCTTTCAACTCTACACTTGAACCTCCGACAGACACTCCATCGAGCTACAGCACCCTCTCACCACTCACCACTCACCTCTCACCACTCACCACTCACCTCTCACCACTCACCACTCACCACTCACCTCTCACCACTCACCACTCACCTCTCACCACCTCCACCCTCACCCTCACCTCTCACCACTCACCTCTCACCTCTCCTCTCACCCACTCACCACTCACCACTCACCTCTCACCACTCACCACTCACCTCTCACCACTCACCTCTCACCACTCACCACTCACCTCTCACCACTCACCACTCGCCTCTCACCACTCACCACTCACCACTCACCAGTAATCTCCTCCTCTCCACCAATCATCCAAAGGTCGCTAATCTCAACAAACCCGACCTGTGCACCTTGACTCTCTCCTTATGGCTGGAGACTTGATGAAAGACTTAAGGAAGAGACTGTCGTGTAATATCGATGTTCGGTTTAGTTGCCATCTTTGTGTCGTGTCTTTGGGGGACGAGGTTTGGTTAGGGTTTGGTTTGGTTTGGTTAGGGTTTGGTTTGGTTTGGTTTGGTTTGGTTAGGGTTTGGTTATTTGGTTTGGTTGGGATTGAGGTTTGGTTTTGGTTTGGTTTGGTTGGGGTTTGGTTAGTTTGGTTTTGGACCCAGGGTTTGGTTGGTTTGGTTTGGTTAGGGTTTGGTTTGGTTTGGTTAGGGTTTGGTTTGGTTTGGTTAGGTCTTCACAACAGTATTTATGGGGGGGTGGGGGGGAAATAGCCCAAGAGCTTTCGAGAATTTGAGTCCAGGTTAGCTTAAGGTGTCAGGTCACCAAACAGACCGCCGGAGTGAGAGGAATGTGTGTGGCTGGAGGAAAAGGAGGAGGAGCAAGAGAGAGAGAGAGAGAGAGAGAGAGAGAGAGAGAGCTAGGAGGGGAGCAGGGAGAATGCTGATGAGTTGCCCTGATTGTATCCTGAGAAAAGGGTTGGGTTTAATTAGGGTGAAGTTGGGTGATTGTGTCGGGTCGTCTTGTTGGGAGGAGTAAGGTCGTTGGAGATGTTACCTTCCTGGTCTCTCTCTCTCTCTCTCTCTCTCTCTCTCTCTCTCTCTTTCCATCTGGGGATGTAGAAGCACCAGCCAGCAGAGAGAGAGAGAGAGAGAGAGAGAGAGAGTGTGTTTTTAATGAGGGAGGGTTCCATCATTGGGAGGGGGGCCGACCACTGGTGCTAACCCCTCAAAAATTCCACCTTTGTGACACTTCTGGGGTGCAGGCGCATCTCCATGGCAAATTTCAACTATCTATTTTCAAAACTATAGCCATGTATAGCGAACAAATACACACACACACACACACACACACACACAAAACGCCATCAATTTTGTCCGTCTACACTCGATTCCTCCATTTACTAACTCGCCCCCTCCCTCCTCCCCTTAACCTTTCCCCCTTTCTCTCTCCCCTTTCCATGTATGAAATGCAGGGAAACAAGCAGACAAACAACCAACACTTGTGGTCAAACGAGGAAAAAACAAACCTTGAATATTCCGTGACAGAATTTTCGGGCGAATTCTTGCTACCCCTGAGAATACATGAATATTGTATTGTGTTGCGGGGACTCTTGTCAACGGTGTGTGTGTGTGTGTGCACATTAAGTAAGAGATGCTTATTATAACACTCAACTAGTATGATCCTATAGCGCCTTGTAATTCCCTTCATACACAGTTAAGTAACACACACTACCAATACTAAATAAATTTCTCGAGAACAAATGTACAAAAAGAAAATATTTATATAATCCCACGAGTTTTATTACTTTTTCCTACTTGTGGTTTTGGTTATTTTCTGTCTTTGTTTTTATATTCTTTTTTGTTCAATCTTTGTTGTGTTTATTTATTTATTTTATGACTTTTTGTTTTCTCTCTGTTGTGTGTTTATTTTTGTTCCCTTTGTGTTTTTTTTATTTTTACATTGTAATGTGCCATTTGTTTATTCTTCTCTTTTTTCCTTTGGCCTGTGTTCATTTATTTATTAATTAATTAATTTATTTATTTTTTATTTATTTATTTATGTATTTATTTGTTTTATTTCCGACGTGTGTTCACCACCCTCCGACAGTACTTAATATATGCATCCGGATTTGTTGCTTCTTGTCGTTCGTCACACCGAAGATATGAATCCGACTGGCGAACTGACTGAAGGCAATTAAACTCTCTTTCCACACACACACACAAACAATGTTTTCTGCCATCCATCCATGTCTCTAAAGTTCGTTGAAAATCCATTTGATGGAGTCCCTAGCAGTCGGATTCACGCTCCCGTCATTGTTTACATTCAAGACCGCGCATGCTCAGTAGGTTGGGTTAACTGACAGTTGGCACCCGCCTGACTAGTAGTGACTCCTCATCCGTGCTAACAAGAAGTCTTTTTATGTCACAGAATATTCCGGCTTTGTTTTTGTTTTTTATTTTGTTTTTATTAAGTGTAATCAAGTCGACCTTGTATGTAGCTGAATAAGCAAGCTTCCTGAATGATTGCCGAGAGGGAAAAAAAGAGGTTGCTGTACACCGATCTAAAAGTATGTAATGTACGTTACGTATAAATAATTATTCTTATATCTCACAGTCTTATAGTGAATCATACTTGTTCAAATATACCGTATGTGGGGGGGGCACCTGGGGAGGAGAAATTGTAGCTGATTGGCTTAACCAGTCAGTATCTAGGAACTCTAAGTTACTAACGATGCCAAAAGTGGGCGGAGCTTAGTGTACATACGTTTCAATTGCCTCACAACCCAGTCAACCAGTCCTATCAGGTCAGTTTTTCCCAAGTCATAATTTTTCAGTATATTCCATAGTTCAGTAAATATGAGAGAGAGAGACAGAGAGTAATGATGGGTGGAGGGGGGTTCAGAGTGGTACAGGTGTGTGAAATATTGAGGGTGACACCAGAGGCGGCAGTGTCCCTACCACCACTCCTACCACTCTGTCACCACTCCTACCACTCTGTCACCACTCCTACCACTCTGTCACCACTCCTACCACTCTGTCACCACTCCTACCACTCTGCCACCACTCCTACCACTCTGCCACCACTCCTACCACTCTGTCACCACTCCTACCACTCTGCCACCACTCCTACCACTCTGTCACCACTCCTACCACTCTGTCACCACTCCTACCACTCTGCCACCACTCCTACCACTCTGCCACCACTCCTACCACTCTGTCACCACTCCTACTACCCTGCCACCACTTTTGCCACCTTGTCACTATTTCCACCATCATCAATGTCACTATCACTCACCACCTTCCTTCTGTAGACATATATAACCACCAGGAAGCACTCAAGTTCTCAGGCTGCTGATTGGTCGAGGTGAAAGGATTGATGCTCACGGCAGCCAATCACCACTTGCCTTCCTATGAATGGTAGGAAGAGAACTCCTTTGTTTACATTAGTCTCTGGGTAATTTCGCCGCCATTTTAGTTGCCTTGTTTCTCTGGATTCTCAAAGGTTCTGCTTCCAACCGTGGCAGTTTTCCCGCTGTCTTTTGTCTTGCCTATGGTATTTCCTTTCCCTCAGCTGTTTCCTCTCCTCCTAGACATTTTCCTCTCCCCCACCATTTTCCTCTCCCCCACCATTTTCCTCTCCCCGGCATTTTCCTCTCCCCGGCATTTTCCTCTCCCCGGCATTTTCCTCCCCCTCGCCATATTCTTCTCCACCCCGCCATTTTTTCCTCTCTCCCCCGACATTTTTCCTCTCCTGCCAAACTATTCCACGGCTGTTTCCTCTCCTCCCCGGCTGCTTCCGTGTCGTTAGGTAAAGTCAGCACAGCGTGACAGTAAAAAAAATAAGGGTAGGGTGTCACAGCCGGCCACCTCCACCTCCCACCACGCAGGTGTTGTGGTGTTATCATTAGTGTTACAGGTGTTGTGGTGTTATCATTAGTGTTACAGGTGTTGTGGTGTTATCATTAGTGTTACAGGTGTTGTGGTGTTATCATTAGTGTTACAGGTGTTGTGGTGTTATCATTAGTGTTACAGGTGTTGTGGTGTTATCATTAGTGTTACAGGTGTTGTGGTGTTATCATTAATGTTACAGGTGTTGTGGTGTTATCATTAGTGTTACAGGTGTTGTGGTGTTATCATTAGTGTTACAGGTGTTGTGGTGTTATTATTAGTGTTGCAGGTGTTGTGGTGTTATCATTAGTGTTACAGGTGTTGTGGTGTTATCATTAGTGTTACAGGTGTTGTGGTGTTATCATTAGTGTTACAGGTGTAGTGGTGTTATCATTAGTGTTACAGGTGTTGTGGTGTTATCATTAGTGTTACAGGTGTTGTGGTGTTATCATTAGTGTTGCAGGTGTTGTGGTGTTATCATTAGTGTTACAGGTGTTGTGGTGTTATTATTAGTGTTGCAGGTGTTGTGGTGTTATCATTAGTGTTACAGGTGTTGTGGTGTTATCATTAGTGTTACAGGTGTTGTGGTGTTATCATTAGTGTTACAGGTGTAGTGGTGTTATCATTAGTGTTACAGGTGTTGTGGTGTTATCATTAGTGTTACAGGTGTTGTGGTGTTATCATTAGTGTTACAGGTGTTGTGGTGTTATCATTAGTGTTACAGGTGTTGTCGTTCTGTTACAGTGGACGTGGGGACGGGCAGAGTTGCTGTAGTCTACCACGGCAACACCCTCACCAGTAAGGTCCCCTTCAGGGCGTGGTTGACGCCATAGCCAGCCTCGCCTTTGACTGCTCCAGTGAGTATAAACTTGACGTGCCCTTGTGTGTGTGTGTGCACTACCACGCACACACAGACCTGTATATATGTATGTTTGTATTTTTACCTGAGTGCTGTCAGTACCTGCCACAGCCACTACCTGATGTAGCTTTATGTACTTGTTTCATTAACTTCTGACCTCCCTTCACAGGTCCCTGAATAATCTCTGTACCTCCTGAACCTGATGTACCTGTGTGTGCTTGTCTCATTAACCCGTGACCTCCTTCTACAGGTACCTCCCTCAACCATTACCTGGGCGTACCTGTCTCATTAACCCGTAACCTCCTTCCACAGGTACCTCCCTCAACCATTACCTGGGCGTACCTGTCTCATTAACCCGTGACCTCCTTCCACAGGTACCTCCCTCAACCATTACCTGGGCGTACCTGTCTCATTAACCCGTGACCTCCTTCTACAGGTACCTCCCTCAACCATTACCTGGGCGTACCTGTCTCATTAACCCGAGACCTCCTTCTACAGGTACCCGGTGATCGTTCACCTGGAAAACCACTGTAGCGTGAAGCAGCAACAGATGATGGCGGTGCTGCTCAAGGCTGTGATGGGCAACAGGCTGTACATCCACCCTTGTAACTCACCCCGCGCCTTCACTGACCTCTCCCCCGAGGAGCTCAAGTGCAAGTTCATACTCAAGGTCAGTGATGGGCTTATATTAGGTCATACTCGAGGTCAGAGGTCATAGCAGGTTCATAACACTTTCTGGATGGCCTTAAATTACATGTTTAGACACAAGGTCTATTGGGTCATACAGACACAAGTACGGATTCAAGTACGGTCGTTTACACACACACACACACACACAGCTAATAAACTTTACACATCCCAGTATAAAATATTTATTGTTCGCCGAAACATAATGATACAGGGATGGAAATTGTGTTGTTGTTGTTTGTCTTAATAAATAGTATTGCATACGGTTTAGCAGGTACTTATAATGTCATTTCTGTGTGTGTGTGTGTGTGTGTGTGTGTACTTATTATCCGTTTGTATGAAAATGTGTATGCATGCATTGACTACCTGTGGTGTAGTAGTAAGCATACTTGCCTCTCCAGAAAGATTCCCCAAGTTCGACACCCAGGAATGCGAAACCGTGGGCTCGCTTCTTGACGTCACTTGCCTGTGTATAACCTATCAGTGACTGGCGGCCTGGATGTTAATCGATTGGCGGGTCATATTCCAGGGTAATGGGTGAGCCAGTGCGGTTAGCGAGTTGTCCGTTCTTCCTGGGCACTGGGGTCATACATCTCGCTCACTCGACGTGCTGTTGCAGTGTCTACGGCTTATGTATGTCTGTATGTATGTATGTATGAACGCGTGTGCATCAGCTAATGTGGTTAACACCCTTCTTCAAATAAATCTAGGTAAATTTTTCTTGTAGCTCCGTTCACTTGTAGCAAGTTAAAAATATATTTTTCTAGTGTATTTGTGTGTGCTGAGACCGAATATGACCTTCCTTTTTTGGCGGAAATTAGCCGGGTTTTTATAGCGATTTTTTTTTTCGTTTGACGTTTTCCTAGAATAAAAAGTGCCTAAGCGACTAACAAATACACAATAAAACACTAGAAAAACAATAACTAAACCTAACCTGACCTGACCTGACCTGACCTGACCTGACCTGACCTAACTTAACTGACTCTCACCATATGATGGAATCACCTATTTCTTACTTTATTGGCCTGGTTCTTGTTCGTCGTTGCATTCTGGGACTCTTACCCAACGCCACATATGTTGGTCTTTGCGATATTTACATTCAGTCTTGCTCTTAGTACACTTTACTGAGGTTGGAAGAACACCATGCGGTCGAAAAAATCTATAGTTTCTACGTTATTTTTTTTCTTCTAAAAACTCGCAATCAGCTCCATATACTTTGTGACATCCATCCCAGACTTCCATGGTCGGAACTGAACTTGAATTTCAAAATATGAGAGACCCAAAATAAAACTCCATTTTGATTGGGCCAAATATACTCTGAATTAGCAAAAACGCTTTTGATTGGCCGCGTGACGTGTACGGGCACGCATGCTCGTCATTATTTATGAAGGAGACGCGAGACACACTCAGTGTTGGGTGAGAGGCAGACGATAATGGCGGGAGATAATGGAAGAAAATAGAACAAATTTTGGAAAAGCTTTCTCTGTTATTATACATTTCCGCCGGTAATGTAATAGATGAAAATTATATTATAATTAGACGTCTTATTCGAATATGATAATAGATTAGTGGTAGGGATGAACGGAGCTACAAGAAAATAATTCCTAAATCTAACTAGAGGGAAACGTTAGGCCCCTTCACCCATCCCCCTCCCCTATCCCCCTCCCCTATCCCCCTCCCCCCCCCCCGTCATCCCCCACGGGTCATAATCCACTTGCCTCCCCCCCCCCTCACCTCCCCCTTTGTCTCCCCACCCCTCACCTGTCCCCCTCCCACCCCACCTGCCTCCCTCCCACCACCTCCTCCCCCACCTCACCCTGCCCCTCCCACCCTCACCCCCTCCCTCCCCACCCGCCCCTCACCTGCCCCTCCCACCCTCACCCTGCCCCTCCCACCTCACCTGCCCCTCCCACCCCCACCTCCCCTCCCACCCCACCTCCCCCTCCCCCTCCCCCCTCCCCCCTCCCCTCACCTGCCCCTCTCCACCCCCTCCCACCTCCCACCCTCCCCCCTCCTCACCCGCCCCTCCCACCACCCCTCCCCACCTCCCCCTCCCCCCTCCCCCTCCCCCCCCACCTGCCCCTCCCACCTCACCTGCCCCTCCCACCCTCACCCTGACCCTCCCACCCCCACCTGCTCCCCCTCCCCCCCACCCCCCCTCCCACCCTCACCCTGCCCCTCCCACCCCCACCCACCCTCACCCCCTCCCACCCCACCCACCTGCCTCCCACCCTCACCCGCCCCCACCCCACCCCCCTCTCCCACCCTCACCCTCCCCCCCTCCCCCCCACCCCCACCCACCTCACCCCCCCTCCCACCTCACCCCCCCCTCCCACCCTCACCTCCCCTCCCACCCTCACCCGCCCCCTCCCGCCCCCTCCCACCCACCCTCACCCACCCTCCCACCCTCACCTGCCCCTTCCACCCTCACCTGCCCCTTTCACCTTCACCTGCCCCACCCACCCTCCCACCTTCACCTGCCCTCCCCTCCCTGCCCTCCCACCCTCACCTGCTTCCTTCACCTGCCCTTCCCTCCAACCCTTCAACGCGAGAGAGATAGAGAGAGAGAGAGAGAGACCTCATTACCGTAACTCAGACCGTAAACCCTGAAGGTGGTGGCTCCCTCCCTCATGCCTCCTTCCCTTTCTTTTTCTCTCTTTCTTTATCTCCCCAGGCATCTTTTTTTCCGCCTTCCGCGTGTCTTCCTGTGCTTTCTTCCTGTTTTTTCCTCCTTCCATCACCGCCTCTCACCCTTCCACTCATTACTCCTCCATCCCTTTTCTCTCACCTTTTTATTTTAATAACTTCCTTCCATTTTGTTTCTTCTCATTTCCTTCCATTTTCTTCACCTTTTATCTCATTCTCTTTGCTCCCTTTCCTGTCTCCCCCTTCTCCTTTCTAATTCCTCTTCCCTCTTTCGTCCTTTCTGGGAGGAGGATAATATAATGGTGTCCACATAAATTTTCCCACGTATACAAAAAATACACGTTGACAATTCTTGTATACAGACTATACATAGACAATCTGGGTATACAAACTATACATAGACAGTCCATGTATACAAACAATATACATACAGTCCGTGTATACAAACAATATACATAGACAGTCCGAGCATACAAACTATACAGATACAGTCTGGGTATCCAAACTACACATAGACAATCTGGGTGTACAAACAATATAAAGTAATAATAATAATAATAATAATAATAATAATTATAATAATAATAATAATAATAATAATTATAATAATAATAATAATAATAATAATAATTTACGGTTCATTAAAAGAGCATGGCAGCCGGAAGGCTGAATATACAGTTGCATAATTGGGGAATGGGTCTCTTGATTTACAAATAATAAACAAGTAACATGAGTGATACATATATGCTAAGTAATGACAGGTGGGGAGAAGGTCATACTACAGGACATTTCAACATAGTGACAGTGCAAAAAGGTAAGATTGACTGGGAGTGAATACACTGGTTGATTACAAGTTATTGATAACTTTTACAATGGTTGGGACTGGGCTGTTCTTATAACGATCAGTAGGTGCTCGTACGGGCTGGATGCGGTTGTGGTGTTGAACAGCTATTCTCGGACGAGGGATCTCGGGTGGTAGTAGGAGCCAGTGTCGAGGATGGTGCAGAAGCTTCTCACCCAATTTGCAGATGAGGTCGTGGTGATGGTCAGAGAGAGCCGAAAGGGTCAGTGTGTTGAGCGCTTCTTGATATGTGGAGCAGGAAGGGGAGAGAATAATCTTGCATGCCCTCTTTTGCACTTTTTCTGGTGTTTACGTTGTGTGGCATTTAGGGAGGAAGACCAGGTAGGGGAGGCATAGGTGAGCTTAGGAAGTATGAATGTTGAGTAAACACTGAGGAGCTCGGGCGCAGGAACTCCGAGGGACTTGATTCGGCGGAGGAGATGGAGACGGAAACTGGAGGATTTGACAACTTCACTGACGTGTGTTTTCCAATTTAGTTTGTTGTCTATGGTGACGCCGAGGAGCTTAGTGGAGTCTGCAACCTGGAGTGTGTTGGGGCCTAAGGTAATGGAAGGGGGTGGGACAACGTCGGAGGAGAAGTTGATGTGCATAACCATGGTCTTGGTATGGTTGATGGTGACTTGGTTGTTGGTGGCCCAATTTTGGAGACGGTTCAATAAATCCTGGAGGACGGTATAGTCGGGAGCAGAGTTGTTGACACTGATCCCAATGGTGGAGTCGACATATTTCCAGCGAGCAGCGGTTTCTCTTAGGGCATCATTGATAAGCATAAGGAAGCAGAGCGGTCCCATCTTGGTGCCTTGGGGGACGCCACAGGTGAGTGACTGAAAAGTGGAGACAGCCCCTCTGAAGCGTACGGCTTGGCGTCGGTCACTAAGGAAGTCTGTGAGCCATGGTATAAGACTTCTTCGAAACCCGAGGTCGATAGCCTTGTTGATGATTAAATTGTGGTCGACTAGGTCAAATGCTTTGGTGAAGTCAATGAAGGCGACAGCCACAGACTTTTTTCGTTTTTCCAGATGGCGGTATATGTAGTCGAGAAAGCTGACAAGACAGTGAGTGGTGGAGGAAGTTTTCATATTACCAAATTGCTGGGGATCTATGGCGCTTGCAATATCAGCATAAGCCCAGTCAAACACGAAACTTTCACAGATTAAGCTGGGTATTGGGGTGATTGCAATGGGTCGTAGCTCATTTAAGGATTGTGGGCTGGTTGACTTGAGCACTGGTGACATATATGAAGTCTCCGGTCAGCTGGGCATCTTGCTTGACTGAGGGAAGCATTGATGATGGAGCAGAGGGGCTTAGCTGGTTCCGGGGAGAACTCCTTGTAGAGTTTCAGTGGTAAGTCAATGAGGGTGGTGGAGCGCTTTAACTTCAGTTTGTCCAGATGTTTTGCTACTTCAAATTCTTCTAATGTCAGTGGGAAAGGAGACTGGAGTCAAGCCGGGGGAGCGTCTGGCATATAGTTGCTAAATGGTTGTTGATTGCTCAGCTGCGTCAACATTAGTGAGATGTCTAAGGAATGGGAGGGGGTGTGTCTTATTATTTAGTCCACAGAGTTCTTCAAGCTTACCATACTACTGACTGTTGTTTGTCTGCTTCAGGTGTTGCAACTTGGTTGGGTAGTGAGACTTCTTTGCATTGCGTATTTCGCGGATGACTTGGTTGCGAAGGGACCTGTAGCGGTTGTGGTCATTGAAATAAAAGGCACTATCTCTGCCGCATAAGTCTTTTGATCCGAGGTGTGATCCAGGGCAAGTCAGCTGGGTGTGATCTGACGGACTTCTCGGGAAAGAAGTGGTCGTGAGCTTCCGTGGTGGTGTTGGTATAATTTATCCATTTGGTGTCCACGCCATCCACACTAAGTACTTCAGCCCAGGGATGGTGAACTTTCCACTGCCCCAAGAGACGCACTGCAGAGTCAGTAATCGGCCTATACATAGACAGTCTGTGTATGCAAACAATATACATACAGTCCGTGCATACAAACTATACATAGACAATCTGGGTATACAAACTATACATAAACAGTCTGGTTATACAAACAATATACATACAGGGTAGACAGTCCGAGTATACAAACTACACATAGGCAGTCTGGGTATACAACCAATATACATAGACAGTCCGGGTATACAAACAATGGGAAATAGTAAGTCTATTTAACCCATGATAACTAACAGAGCCACCATGCTTATTTCCTCCTGAGAGAGAACCGATATATCTCTCTTGTTAAATTTTATGTTAAAATGTTTAATATGAATCGTAAAAAGAAGGAAGTGAAGTAATGCGCTATGTGATGTGTTTTATAAGACTACAGTATATGGTCACCTGCCAGCACCCTCCCTCCCTCCCTCCTTCCTTCCCGTTTACATACACACACGTCTCCACCACTCTCTCTAACTCAATACAATACCTCCCCCAAGACGTCCCCTCTAAGCTGAAGGACCTATATGCCTCCTTGTCTCACTTACTACATCCTGCGAGAGGGAGAAGGACCTTGATAGTGAGGAACATTTCGCCTCCTTAGTTTTTAGTTATTTTTTTATTGTAGGATACTAAAAGATCTATCGTCTATGCACTCAATGATGTATTAGCAGTGAGTTAAACAATGACTGGGGGTTGTTATTGGCGTAGGATACCTCATCTTTGCCTCTTAAGGATGTCTGATGTCTAGGATCACAATGTCCCAAGTTGAAAGGATATTTAAGGATATTTAATGTTGAGGAATCCTTTTGTCTCTGGTGTATGGCAGAGTAGATGGGATGACGTGAAGATCAGGCACCGCAGCTTATTCCACCTTTAAGATTAAGCACCCTTATATTGACCAGACACAGTGACCGCCAGACACAGTGACCGCCAGACACAGTGACCGCCAGACACAGTGAACACCGTAACTTGAGGCTTAATGAACGCGTCTATCTATCCCTGTTACGATAAATCTCATCCTCCCCCAAAAAATCTCCTAATTTTACTCCCCCAAGCTCACAATTTAACCCCAAAACTCATAATTTTTCCCCCATAATATTTTACACAGCAAAACTGGAACGGAAAGACCTCGCCCCCATTACGGAATCCCAGAGGCAAATAATAACATTTCGTACCCCCGTCGAGGTGAGGGAGAAATGCGAACAGGAAGGCGGAGGGGAAAGGCGGATAGGAGAGCGGAAAAGCGGATAGGAGGGTGGAAAACGGAGGGAAAAGTGGAGAGGAGAGCGGAAAGGCAGAGAGGAGGAGAGGAATGGTATTGGCTTATCCCGGCAGGTTGTCTCGACCTATGGCGTGTTAGGTGGAGGCTTTGTGATGACCTGCAGGTGAAATCCTGTTAACGTGTTATTGTTCTCGCCTCACCTAGTCACACACACACACACACAGACACACACACACACACACACGCGCGCGCGCGCATATATACTGGTCACAGAAACTGCTATATTCACCATACAGAGTTAAACCCATCGTGCTAAGGGCACTGTGAAATACCTTTGTACTACATGGTTAAAATAATCAAGAGACAGAGAGAGAGAAAGAGGGGGGGAGGGGGTAAAGAGAAAGAGAGAGATTCAGTGACCGAGAGTCAGTGAGTGGTCGCGTCTCGTCTCATCTCGTCCAGTTTAGGGTCTTGAGCCAGGACTCTGAAATATGGACCAGCGAGTCTAAATTCAGACCCCTGGAAACGAGAGAGACACGGTCCGACACGTCCCAGTGAACCTCCAGATGTGGTACCTGTGCATTGTGGGGTCTGCAACGCATTCACAGAACCCGGTAGCTGAGTTGGAATATTGCAAGGTGCGGTCGTGGGAGCCCCTTGACTTCTGGGGTGGGATCTCAAAAGAGGATTCCATTCTATTTATATGTATATTTACAAACGGCAGTCGGATACAGATTTTTATAAGGGGTTCCCGGTCTTTTATAGAGAAGAGGGGGCCATGGAAAGGAATACGGCCAGGGAGGAGGATGGGGCCATGTGGGAGCAGGGAGTCATGGAGGGGGATGGGGCCATGTGGAGGAGGGAGCCATGGAGGAGGATGGGGCCATGTGAGAGGAGGGAGCCATGGAGGAGGATGGGGCCATGGAGGGGGATTGGGCCATGTGAGAGGAGGGAAGCATGGAGGGGAATGGGGCCATGGAGAGGAATGGGGCCATGTGAAGGAGCGGGGCCATGGATGAGCGACTGAGCTACGTTGGGGGATAGGAGGAAGGAGCCATGTAGAAGGAGAGACCATGTAGGAAAAGGGGCCATGTAGGAGGGACTGGGTCATATAAGGGGGACGAGGCCATGTTGGGGGGGTGGACGTGGCCATTGAAGAGGACGTCCACTTTATTAATATCGATTCATCCCTTGCAGAGACTCGTGACCTCAGGTGTATTGTGTTGACTCTCTCTCTCTCTCTCTCTCTCTCTCTCTCTCTCTCTCACAGGTGGATCACAGAACTCCTCTCTCACTATCGTAAGACAAGGAGGTGGATGGTCGTCTATATTTTTCTTCTTGGCTCAACATTTCATTTGCATTCTGAAGACATTTTTGGACAGGTGGCTAAAATGTGCTCCATTTGGTTTCTGTTGCTACTGATGCGTCTTATTTTACTGTGCTCTCTCTCTCTCTCTCTCTCTCTCTCTCTCTCTCTCTCTCACATAAATATCACCACCGTCACTCACATTCATCCTTTGTTCTCGACAGGGCAAGAAGCTACCGAACGAGGACATGGAGGAAGGAGAAGTCTCGGACGAGGACGAAGGAGGCGAGACCAAGAGGAACAACAACCCGAGGAAGATCCGGCTGTGTCGAGAACTGTCCTCGCTTATCTCGCTCCACCGGGCACGCTTCAACGACCTCCACATGACGAGAACCCAGCGTGAGTGTGGAAGAGGAGAGGGAGGGGGAGGGAGAGGGAGAGGAGAAGGAAGAAGGGGAGAGGGTGAGGGAGAGGGGGGAGAAGGAGAGAGTAAGAGGGGAAAGAGAAGTGGAAGGGTAGAGGAAGGAGGTGGAGAGGGAGAAGGAGGAGGAGAGGGTGAGAGGGGAAAGGGAAGAAGGGAGAGAAGAGGAGGAGACACAGAGGGGGTTAAGGAAGGAAAAGAAAGGGGAAAGGAGGAGAAAAAGGGGTAAAGGGAGAAGAAGAGAGAAAAGGGAAAGAATGGAGAAATTAATGAAAGGAGAGGAAGGGAGGAGAGTATTGGCAGGAGATAGAAGGGCTACGAAAGGGAAGGAGAGGGATGGGAATCGGGAGTTGCTGGAATGGGGAGGATGGAAGAGGGTTATTTACAGGAAATAGAAGGGCTGAGAGAGGGAGAGGAAATGTCAATGGGACAGAAAAAAAAGACTTCAACTAATCCATCATTTAAGCTGTGACACATCGATGGATTCTCAAAGTTTGGCGAGTTAAATTGTCTTCCTTTCTAACTGTGGGTGTGAGGCTATTAGAAACTGCCTCCCTTAAGCTGTGAGATATAGCGGAGTGTCACTTAAGCTTCGAGGAAAAGAGGAAGGTCATGTAAGCTGTGAGATATAAAGGAGGGCCACTTAAGCTTCGAGAAATAGAGGAGGGTTAATTAAGCTGTGATATATATATATAGAGGAGAATCAATTAAGCTGCGAGAAATAGAGGAGGTAATGTTGAAAGCATTACATGTTCTTAACGTTTGATTATATTTTCAGATGTTCGAAAGTTAAATCTTTCACCAGAATCTTAAACGTGAGAATAAACTGTACTGTATATAACGGCTTTGTTCACATTACGGCACCATGATCATATTATCCATTGTAACTCCTTGATAGATAGATAGATAGATATATAGTATTTATTCAGGAAAGACTTCCAGGAGAGAGTCGCATATTCTTTGTTTATGTCTTTTTATTTCTACGTTCTATTCCTCCTCTTCCTTTCGTTCTTTTTTCTCTTCTCTATCTCTCCAAAAAGTACAGTTGCTTTCATCTCCAGGTTAAACACTAGATAAAAAGTACCTCTCCTTCCCACATAGAGAATGCAAGCGAGATGTGTAGTTTGAGTGAGTCGTCGGCTGCCAAGATAGCCCATGCCTGCCCCGAGGATCTGGTCAGCCACAACAAGCGCTTCCTTACTCGCGTCTACCCCAACTCTTCCAGGGTCGATTCCTCTAACTACAACCCACAGGACTTCTGGAACGCCGGCTGCCAGATGGGTAAGGTGGTAGGGGTATTGATGGTGGATAGTGGTGGTGTTGTTGCTAGTAGTGGTGGGTAGCGGTGGTGTTGGTAGTATGGTTATTGAAGGTGGTGGTGGTAGTGATGTTGGTGTGGTCGTGGTAGTGCCAGTTGTTCTGATGATACTTGTATTTATACCTCATAGAACTCTCTCTCTCTCTCTCAAGCCATTGGTATTACTGCATGTATTAAAACCTGAAACTTAAACTGTGAACCCAACACCACCAGTAACAATCTGTTTTAATCATTTCTTCCATCTTGCACCTTAAAAAATTACCATAAACTTGTAACTTAGTGGATAACAGTGAACAGTTAGTGGATGAAGAATGTATCGTCGACTCCACTATCTATCATAACTTCTTCATAACTATATATTTTGGATCACTTGAACATAAGCCCCCATTTTACTTTGCCTTAGGATTAACCACTCTTACCTAACCTAACCACTCTCAGGTAGCGTTAGGGAGTTTAATCATCAGGGTTATCTTCACGTGACCTTAATATTTTTTTCACCAATTCCTCTTTAGAAGACACTAGCACCTCCAACTCCCATGGTAAGTGATGCCGTGTTCCTCTCCTCAGTGATGTGGTGTATAAAGTCAGAGTGTGGCGTATTATTTTTTTTTTTTTGAGACGAAAGTGATAAACCATAACACTCAAAGGGTTAAACCAGCGTCTTAAAAAGATTAAACCATTATTTTCGAAGGATTAAGCCATCATGTTCAAAGGGTTAGATCATCGTCCTCAAATATTCTTACAAGTTCCACCTCAGAAAACACCGTGGGACCTCAAAAATTGCTGTGGTTTACAAGAAGGAGTTAACGTTGTGTTCCTCTCCACAGTGGCGCTGAACTTCCAGACACCAGGGCAGATGATGGACGTGTACGAGGGAAGGTTCCGAGCCAACGGGGGGTGCGGCTACCTGTTGAAGCCCGCCGTCATGAGAGAACACATATCTGTCTTCTCAGCTCACTCCAGGGATACAATACCCGGTGTGGCCCCTCAGCTGTTGAAGATAAAGGTGAGGTGATGTTTGTGAAGGAGAAGGTGGTGGTGGCGTGTGAAGGAGAAGGTGGTGGTGGTGTGTGAGAGGTGGTGGTGATGGTGTGTGAGAAGTGGTGGTGATGGTGTGTGAACGGGAAGGTAGTGGTGGTGGTGAGGTGTGAGGAAGGTAGTGGTGGTGGTGAGGTGTGAGGAAGGTACTGGTGATGTGTGAGAGTGGTGGTGGTGGTGAGGTGTGACGGAGGTAGTGGTAATGTGTGTGGGAGGTAGTGGTGGTGTGTGAGGAAGGTGATAGTGAAGTGAGGGAGAGAGATGAAGGAGAGACTGAAAGGGGAGGGAGGTTGTAGAGTGAGATGAGGAAGAGGATCATGAGGTGAGAAGTTAAAATGAGATAGTTGTGAAGGAGAGGAGAGGAGGGAGGGAGGTAGGAAGGGAGAGAGAGAAATAGTAAGGGAGAGAGAGAAGTAGGAAGGGAGAGAAAAGAAGGATGTAGAGAGGGAGCCAAGTATTGGTGTGAGGTCTCCATGAGGTGTCAGTGAGCTGTCAGAACTTATTGTGAAGGATGTCAGTGTTGTCTGTTGCGTTCGAGTTAGTATTCAGTAATTAATTAGTTAAGAATAAGTTGGCCACAATGCTTTCAGGGTTTCCTCCATTGCTGTAGTGAGAAAAGAGGCACATAACTTTTCAAATAAGGACAGAAAAAAAATACTGTTTTCTGAGCTCGTCTGAGATTTTGTTGCATTACAATCCACATTATAAGATTCTTCGAAGTTTATTCTTACAAGAGGCCTCAGGACACACACACACTGCATGAGTCTCTGGATCCTAGTGACTCGTGCAGTGTGTGTGTGTGTGTGTGTGTGTCCTAGAGTCTAGGACAGCGCTGCTCTCAGACCAATCAGTTTTTCTCCTCCAGTGAATGATCAGCGGCATTTAGAGCTTGTGTGTGTTTATTTTGTTTTCATACATGTATCCTCTGAATTCTGACAAATTATAGCCAAAGAGACTTGGTGTATGGACTCTGAATGGTAAATTTGTTTGATCTATCAACCCTGGAAGAGTAACAGCAATTACTTCTACTGCTAACATATAGTCTTAATTGATTACTTGCAGAATTTTAAAATAGTTCTCCGTGAGCCATAGCAGGGTATACTATCATAGTTCTCTCTGAATGCTTAGAGTTTTCCTCTCCCTAATAATTAGAGAGTTTTTGTAATTATTACAAGAGTACTCAGGTGTTCCCTCCTGCAGGTAATCAGTGGACAGTGTCTCCCCAAGCCCCGGGGGTCAACGGCCACAAAGGCCAGCTTCATCGACCCCTATGTCGTGATCCAGGTGTTTGGCATCCCTGCTGACTGCACAGGTGAGCTCCTCCTAGTGTGCACCTTTATTTGCACCTGTCATTAACTCATGGTGATGATGTCATAACTATTTTTGTTAAGTCTTAACGATGTTTTACAAAGTAACAAGGGAGAATTTAACCTTTTTTAATATAATTATTCCTGTCGATAGTATTTATTTATCATATTGTGCAGCTTTCATTTGGAAGATAAAAAAACAATTATGTATACCTACAGTGAAAAACAACTTAGGATTTCTCGACATTTATCTTCTGCTTTACTGTAATTCCTCGACATCCAGATCTTATTACAGCAAACATTATTGCGCTCTTTCTTACAGGGAAAAGACAAAATTTCTGCTATGTTATTCACGGTCAATTATTTGGTTTATTTATTTGAAGGTCGTCTTACACCTTTCACCCATGTGTTGCCTTGTAAGTGTCCAAACTTGACACCTGTAATACAATATTTGCATGAATAAACTCGGCGATATTCGCCTTAACATGCATCATAAATTGATGAGGCATTGTGAAGGCTAAGGAATCTCTCTCTCTCTCTCTCTCTCTCTCTCTCTCTCTCTTTTTTTTACACACACACTACTGGTAGTCTTCAATATACTACCCTTCCTCCTGACTCCCTATCTCTTCCTCAGTCCTTACTGACTTCGTTTCTCTTTCTATTCCTTAACTTACTGGGCGTCATTCAGGTGCTACCATCTCCTTTGTCTCACTCAGTATCTCCTTTTCTCTTCCCCTCCACCATACCTCTACTGTGCATCAATTGACTCCCTTCTTTTCTCACTTCCTCAGAGGCCAAGACCCGTACAGTCAGTAACGACAGCAGCTTCCCGATCTTTGACGAGAGCTTCGAGTTCCTTATCAACCTTCCAGAGTTGGCACTCATCCGCTTTGTGGTCCTGGACGACGAGTTTATCGGAGATGACTTTGTGGGGCAGTGTACCATCCCCTTTGACTGTATTCAGACAGGTGTGTGTGTGTGCGCGTGTGTGTGTAACATAATTTTTCTTTTAATTTTTCAATCAGTAAGTTTCATAAACTATATTAATCAGAACATATATGCCTGATACCTTATTTTCATACTACAATTTACTTTTATTTACTAATATTTTAAAACTACTTGTCATATAGAATAAATAGTCAATTAGTTTCATTATAATCATTACTTTTTGCTAAGAATTCACCAGTTTAGTACAGATTATTTAAATGCCTGAGTATGTTTCCATCTGTTAGAAGAACCTCCTGACATGACCTCTGTAACTCCCTGACCTTATACCCAGAGCCGTCCCTAAGGGGGTGCGGGGCCCCGGGCAATAATTCATCTACTGCGGGGCCTCTTTGCATTCTTAATATATATGTGTGTGTGTGTGTGTGTGTGCACACGCACATGCATGCACACACATACACACATACATACATACATACATACATACATACATACATACATACATACATACATACATACATATAATAGAAGAAAAGGTTAAAATTTATTTTTATAGTTACATACATACATGCTTTTAGCTTTTATCCTCTTCACCACTGATCGGCTCGTTAGCCGCTTGGACGATCGGTCACGTCTCTGTTATGCACTGTTGGCAAGTACTGACATGCACCAGCTCCTGAATGTACCTGAACCTGCTCCAGTGTTGGTCAAGTCTTGTCTTGAAAGAATCTCACACTCGGTGCCGTCACAACACTTTCTGGTAGATTGTTCCAAGAGTTCACAACTCTCACTCCAAAAAAGTTTGCCCTTTGCCCTTGCGGCTTCTTCAATCTTGAGCTGTGACCCCTTGTGGGACGAGCGTCCACCATCTCCAAGTAAGGACACTCGACTGAGTAGTGCCCCTTCAGATGCTTATACACCTCAATTCGGTTGCCCCTTGCCCATCTGTAGTATAAGCTAAGCAAGTTCAGGCGCTCCAATCTCTCAGGGTAGCTGAGGTGCCGAAGTGCAGGCACCAGTCTGGTGGCCCTCCTTTGAACATTTTCAACCAACTGACAGTCCCTAGCATATCTTGAGGACCAGACAGGGTGACAGTACTCCAGATGGGGAAGCACTTTACTCTTGAAGATTGTTACGAGGGACGGACCGTCTAGATATCTGAACGACCTTCTTATAAGACCGAATAATTTATTTGCCTGATTTACCTTCTTCTCACAATGGCCCGAGAACTTCAACTCATTGTCAACATACACACCTAGGTCCTTCTCACATTCAGTCTCAAATAGTGCAGTTTCTTCATCCCGTTGGGACATATGATGCGCCTTCTTATCGTTGGTACGATCCAGGTGCATCCTCTTACACTTCGTGACATTGAATCTCAACAGCCATTTCTTCAACCAGTCTTGGAGCCCACAGAGGTCCTTCTGCAGCTCTTCACAGTCCGCTTGGTTCTTGATTTCCCATAATAACTTGGCATCATCGGCAAACATTTGTATGGAGGAGTATACAACGTCAGGCATGTCATTTATGAAACAAACAAACAACAGCGGGCCCAATACACTGCCCTGTGGTACCCCGCTTGTGACAGGTACGGATGATGATTTCGTACCATTAATCACCGTACACTGCTTGCGGTCATGTAGAAAGTCTTCTATCCACGCTAGGACATTTCCCCAAATTCCGTACCCTTCCAGTTTGATTTTCACCCTTTCGTGGAGTACGCTGTCGAAAGCCTTGGCAAAATCTAGGTAAATATTGTCAATATTACCACCCTGTTCCAGAATATGGGTCCAAATATCCAATACCTTGAGCAATTGTATTAAGCAGGAGCGCCCCAGCATAAAACTGTGTTGGCAATCCTTTACAAGGTTGTTTCGTAGTAGATGTTCCATCGCAGCATCTCTGATAATACTCTCCAGTACTTTACATATTATGCTGGTCAGGCTCACCGGTCTATAGTTGTTCGTGGAGTGACGATCGCCCTTCAAGATAGGACTCACATAAGCCACTTTCCATTCACTGGGGACCTTTTGTTCATTCAGGCATTTACAAAACAGGATCTTCAGGGGCTCGGCAAGCTCGTTGCTCAACTCTCTTAGCACTCTAGGATGCACCATGTCAGGGCCGGGACTCTTATGGACCTTTAGCTTTGACAGTTTATTTCTAATACCCTCTTCTGTGAACACAATGTGGGTCAGTGCTGTGTCGAACCGTCTGTCCTCAAACACAGGAAGGTTAATCGCATCCTCTCTTGTGAACACCGAGGAAAAGAAGCTGTTCAATGCCTCAGCTTTAGCCTGGTCAGAATCTGCGAAACTACCATCTTCAAGCCTCAGGTCTGATACAGGTAGTTCTGCTATAACGCGATAATTGTGTTCTTGTAAAATATCGTGTTATAGAAAATCGCGTAATAGAAATAACAGGGCTTATGGAGAAAATAGGGTTAGGTGCAGATTACTCGAAATCGAAAAAATTTAGTAGTTAGCCTAACACAAAGGATAGCACGGTCTAAATAAATGTTACATTCATATCTAATAATGAAATCATACAGTAAATGTAACACTTTACTTGATGGGGGAGAAGGGTGATTTTGAGGTTGATAAAATCGAGCTTCTCTTCTAGTGTTATATCCTTTCTTTTACGATCATCACCAGGAATTTTATCACCGGAACGCTTCTTGTTGATATTCTTCTTTACTATATTCACAAAATTGGAGAAATAGTAAGCAAAAATCGCGTTATAGCAAACAAGCGTTCGCGTTATACAAATATCGTTCCTAATTCATAAATCGCGTTAGAGCAAATTCGCGTTATCAAAACACGCGTTATAGCAGAAATCACTGTACACCCGACGATAAGTAAGTCCCCTCCCTTTAATTTAATTTTACACCACTTGGACTCTTCAAAAACATCATCTCCCTGTACCCTCGCCTGGCTGGCTCTAAGGTCTTGCCTATTATATATAACCACACCCCTCTTGCAAGTTTCTTGAGAAAGGTTCGTAAATGAGTCATATCCAGCAATACTGAACTCACCTTCCTCTGGGTCAATTCTCCTGTTCTTGTACAACAGTTCAACAACTCCTACAATATCTGGTTGGTGTACCTTCAGTAGTGTTTCAAACTCCTCTCTCTTATCAAGGAACGTGTCAGTATTAAGTATTAGTGTAAATGACATTCAAACTAGAATTTGTTCTTGGTAATGTCTCTGCTCTTAGTAGTAACCCCCCGCCCATTCTCGGTAGCTGCAGCATTTGCTAAGTACACTTTATTTTGCAGGGTGTGGTTAGAAATGTCATTGTTTACATGGCGCTCGCCTCCTTCCGGCTGATAGGCGGAGCTGGTGCCACCTCCCGGGCGGGGGGTAGAGCGGGTGGAGGGTGCGCTGCTGTCCCCCAGCCCTCTGTCGGCACACTTGCTTCCACCACTCTCTCCCTGAATACAACCCATGTACACCCGACCCTGCTCCTCCTCGCCTTCAGTGGTATAATAAAAAACGAGGGCTGTATACGATAGTAAAATAATGTATATCAACAATTTCACAAAACACAAATCACGGACAACTGGAGATTCCGAGTTTCGACAACACTGACAGGTGACCGCTGTCAATGTCCTCACTCCTCTTCAACAGAGAGCACAGTAAATAATAACATTGTTCTCAGTCTGGGTGGTAAAATTGGGTGGCTTAATCTTACCTTTGACCTTATTTCAGCAGATGCATTGCCTAACTGTGCTGGTCACTAATCCTTCAGGTGGTCTCCTGAATCTAGGTGGTAAGGTGAGGTCAGCTTAACACGGTCACTAATTCTGGTGTTGGGTGAGGTAAGTTGCCATAACTTAGGGACGGCTCTGCTTATACCCTTCTGACCTAACCTCCTCACTTCCTGACTACCTGGCTCAATATCCTCCCTTACTGACTAACTGACGACTAAGTGAGGGAGTCTCTTTGCTTCAGGTTACCGCCACGTGCGTCTCCTCTCGAGCATGGGGGAGCCGATGGACACAGCTACTCTCTTTGTGCACGTCTCCATCTCCAACAAGAAGGGCGGAGGGGTGAGTTCTATCTCTTTTTCTCTCTCTCTCTCTCTCTCTCTCTCTCTGAATGGGTAGCTAAATTTGGGCAGCCACAACACACAGAGAACCTTTTACTCTACTATCACCATTTCAGTCTGTGATCCAAACTGGTAATATTTTAAATGTATGCATAGGCCAAGTAAAAATTGCTTCTATTATCTGAACATTCAAGTTATTTAAGTTTAAAAGTGCATACAGATTTAAATACACCCTGTAGTAGGTAAGTGTGGACGTGTGTCTTACAAACATTGGGAAACCTTAAATTTATGATGCTCATATACTGTAGTATGTACAAGTATTACTGCTTTTCACCAAATTATTAGTAATATCTCCATTAGCTGGAATCCCTCTTAGCCGGAACTCTCCGATAGCCAGAATTTAAATTTGCTTGGATTTTTCCGGAAAATTCCAGGTTTGAGAAAATTCTGGGGATTGGGGATTTTTCCGGGTTTGAGAGAGTCATCTTGTTACCCGAAAATCTCATTCCCAGAAGTGCTTTGTACCAGTTATATTGTCCTTCACAACCATCCTCCACCCCCACCACTTGTATCTCACTATTCAACCAGGTTACAGTATTGGTGTCAGTTACTGTGTCTCAAAATTAGCCCCCTCTCCACCTTACTTCACCTGAACATTAACCACCCTAATGATAACCTAGCCTAACATAACTTAACCTTATGTAACCCAGGTAGCATTACAGTGATTGATCATCATGGGAAATAAGCTGGAGGTCAAATCTTCATGAACTATGTTTTTGTTGTTGTTTATTCTTCCAATTTACTCTCATTTATATTTTTAATATACGTATTCAATTTTATTCCTTTACATCTTCTTTGTCATTAATCATTCATCAATTACAGTACCGGTACTCACTTTTTGTTATATTTCCTCCAGAAACCTCAACGTGTAAAGGGCAAGAGATCAGACAAGATCCAAGCAGACATCAAGCCTGTGGGACTGAAGGCTGCTGATGATGTGTTCAAGGTAAACTCACTCTCACTGAATAACAAACTTGGCACTACAGTTCCCGCTAGCTGTGCTCAATTTGGTCACAAGAAGCTAGTCGAATTCAAGCTTCACATAGGTGTAAACATTTAAGATAGATCTCGGAGACCTTATTAATGTGGCAACTATAGTTGTTTTTTTGGGCTGTGTCAAGCTTAGGCAATAAAGAAAATGTTTGTGGACTCGTCCAAGGCTCACTACAAGGAGGAATACAAGTGTGTACTGTACTGTACTAGCAAAATGTAAACATTGCTGTCAGATCAATACTAGACCTTACTAGTACACAAGTAATATGCAATCATAAACTATATCATTTTTTATATACAGGTATTGTGGCACTGTACCTTTGATTTAGTATATTAATACATGTACTGTAGCTCTACCTTAAACTCAGGAATGTAGCCGATTTTAGATAAGTTATGACTGACCCATTAGAGTTGAGAGAAACTGGGAACACTAGCTGGAACCTCCAGATCTATTGTAGGATTTGCTTTCCAGTTTAAAAAAAATTCCAATTTAGGTGCGTGTGTGATGCCGTGTTAACTCAAGGCAAGTACAGTACTGTATGTGGTTATTGAGTTGATGGTTGGCGGAATTTACCAACTGCAGGTGGGACGGTGGAAATTGAGTCCAGTGTAATACCCTTTAATAATGTGAAAAGCTCATAAACGATGATAATGTATGGGGGATCATAAACTTTGGAAGGTTGATATAGAATGATATTCTCCTGTAATTAATTTATGATATCTTAGAGGAGAGGGAAATGTACCTGGGACTGTTCTCTACAATGTCTTAGAACATGCCTTTGAGGACTTTACAAGCCTGGGAGAAGGTATTTTTTGTTGCTATTTCTAATCTCCTGAGTTCCAGATAAATTTTCTTAAGAATGTTCTTGAGGAAGTCCTTTCTCTAGACACTATGAGTTTCAGGAAGCATCAACGGCACTAAATGAAGCAGAGTTTGAGCAGGGGAAGGTGGAGGCCGCCTGGTCGGACTTGCAAGATGAGTGTGGACTAGAGCACACAGTCAACATGAAGCAATGCCTCAAGGTGGCCATCTCCCGCTACTTGGCCACCCCAGAAACCAATCGCTTGTCGATCCAAGAAGAGAAAGGAGTGAGTATTTACTATATTCTCACATCATGTGCTGTGGAGTAGATCTTAAGTTTTCCTAGTCTAAACTTTTTTACTTTTTACTTTTATCCTCTTCACCACTGATCGGCTCGTTAGCCGCTTGGGCGATCGGTCACGTCTCTAGTTACGCACTGTTGGCAAGTACTGGGCATGCACTGGCTCCTGAATGTATCTGAACCTGCTCCAGTGCTTGTCAAATCTGGTCTTGAAAGAGCTTACACTCAGTGCAGTCACAACACTCTGGCAGAATGTTCCAAGAGTTCACAACTCTCACTCCAAAAAAGTTACCCCTCACAGTTTTCTGGGCTTGAGGCTTTTTCAACCTTGACCTGTGACCCCTTGTGGGGTGAGCATCCACCAGCACCAGGTAAGGGCACTCGATTGAGTAGTGCCCCTTGAGATGCTTATACACCTCAATTAGGTCTCCCTTACCCGTCTGTAGTATAGGCTAGGCAATTTCAGGCGCTCTAATCTCTCAGGGAAGCTGAGGTACCATAGTGCAGGCACCAGTCTGGTGGCCCTCCTTTGGACATTTTCAATCAACTGATAGTCGCTACCATATCTCAGTCGACCAGACGGGGTGACAGTACTCCAGACGGGGAAGCACTTTACTCTTGAAGATCGTTACGAGGGACTGACCGTCTAGATCAGTGGTTCCCAAACTTTTTCTGATCATTACCCACTTTTCATATACAGGTAGTTCTGCTATAACGCGATAATTGTGTTCTTGTAAAATATCGTGTTATAGAAAATCGCGTAATAGAAATAACAGGGCTTATGGAGAAAATAGGGTTAGGTGCAGATTACTCGAAATCGAAAAAATTTAGTAGTTAGCCTAACACAAAGGATAGCACAGTCTAAATAAATGATACATTCACATCTAATAATGAAATCATACAGTAAATGTAACACTTTACCTTGAAAAAATATGAATGTAACTTGATGGGGGAGAAGGGTGATTTTGAGGTTGATAACATCGAGCTTCTCTTCAAGTGTTATATCCTTTCTTTTACGATAATCACCGGGAATTCTATCATCAGAACGCTTTTTGGAGATATTCTTCTTTACCATAATCACAGTTAATACCACAAAATTGGAGAAATAGTAAGCAAAAATCGCGTTATAGCAAACAAGCGTTCGCGTTATACAAATATTGTTCCGAATTCATAAATCGCGTTAGAGCAAATTCGCGTTATCAAAACACGCGTTATAGCAGAACTCACTGTATGATCCTTATCCATGGTCCCCCTCTCCCAATCCATATCTCTGGCTGGCTCAGCTGCCGACTGGCTGTTCTAGTGTGGTGGGGCTTGGGATTTTTATGTGTACATAGCCTCAGCTTATGGCCCCCTAAATTTTGCTGTATGGCCCCCCAGGGGGCCATGGCCCCCAGTTTGGGAGCCACTGGTCTAGATATCTGAACGACCTTCTTATAAAACCTAATAATTTAGTTGCCAGATTTACCTTCTTCTCGCAATGGCTCGAGAACTTCAGCTCATTGTCAACATACACACCTAGGTCCTTTTCACATTAAGTCTCAACTAATGCAGTTTCTTCGTCCTGTTGGACATATGATACACCTCCTTAAATCTAAATCTAAACATTCCAATTGAACGTCACATCATTTAGTGCTCTCAGTTCCTATATGTGTTTCGAAGGTTTAGGAAATCTAATCCAAAATACCAGTTCAAGGAGAAACCTAAGTATAAGTACAAGTGCCGGACTCTCCAAATCATGTTAATATAGTAAAGTACCTGGTAAGTCTTTTAACCTAAATACGAAGGAGATTTTTTTTCTTTCTCATGTTTGCCACTTATCAGCTTACTAGCTGTTTGGGCGGTTTATCCTTTGACTTATTGGTGAGAATTATACACGTTACCGCTGTAGCACCATCACCCATTTACAACAGTTAAATCCAGGAATAACATGAAATCCACATCAAGTATAAATTTATGTTTGCAGTGTTTGCATTTTTATGAGAATAGATCAGCAACAGTAGTCATATTTAATGACCCAAAACATTATTTGTGACTATATTCAGTAAGTTGCAGCCAGCTGCTGTATTTCTGGGCTCAAAATAACACTCCATTTCAACTTTTGGAAGTCTGTTGCTGAAGTTAACAACAATAAAGTTTATGTCTGTCACATATCTTTATAAGTACTGTACAGTACAAAGCCTTCATCTTGTGATTTATTTCCAGATCCCATTTTTGAAAAGTTCCTGTCCTGGGCCATTACCATCACATTTACACAAACTGGACATGGCACTAGAAAAAGTGAGTACTGTAAACTTTTAGTGTATGTACCGGTACAGTGCTGTATAGTGTCACACTTCAAAATGGGAAAGTGAGTAAATTATACATATGAGAAACATTCCCCTGAAATATCATCCTGTACTTAATTAATAAACAAATGGCAATGTTTAAAATTACAATACTGTATGTAAAGAGATATAACTGTTATATTTAAAACTCTTAATAAAAAATTCTTGCCTAGAACAAAAATCAGGTATGAAACAATCATTTTTTATTTCTTTAACACTTCTTAGGTAGAAACTGTATCGCAACATTCAATTTGTTAGTTTAATGTTGTAACTTCATCTTGATTAGTGGAAAATAGTGGGGTTTTATTTATAGCGGTGACAGGTGTATGGGCACAATTACATGTTTTTCTTTATTAGAGACAAAAAGAACTTGATCTTAGGATGTATGTGATTGTGTATAATTCTGTTTATTAACTAAAGTTGGGTATAAAGGAGGAAACACTTTGTAGCACATCTTTATAGGCCCTAGCACATTAGACTAGTACTAGTAACTAGGATGTTTAACACTTCTAATACTGTAACTAGGATTAATAAATAATGCTAATGAGACAACTGGCATCCAGGATATATGTCAGGAGTAAATTTGGCAAAATGATATCAACTAAATAGGAAAATTAAAAAGGAACTACAGTATAGTAGGCATCAAGTTTATCCAAGAGATGATTTAATTTATGTTTTGTTCTCATACATATCAGATTATTTAAATGGGTGGTTAGATATAGAAAAAATATTGTATACTATACCAAAATGGCTTGAGTGTTTCTTACCATGTGGCCTGATGTCTTCCATCAAGGTACCGGTAAATCCTAAGTTGTCCTCTCTCTCTCTTTCTCTATCCCTTATTACTGTACTGAAATGCATCCTTTGTAACTTGCAGGTAATCCTGGAAATCCCTCATTACTTTAACTCACTCACAGGGAGTGGTTGAGTAAAGCATAATGAATGGGGAATTTAGGTGTTTCATAAGCATTAATTTCCTAAAATTCCTATGCAGTTGGTATTCTATGTATTATCTACCACAGTGTACATCTTGCAGGTATTAGTGGAGATACACCACTTCTTGACTCATGGAGAGGAACTGAGAGTCTCCCTGGAGTCACGACTCAAGCCTGCCCTGGCTATGTATGACAACCTGGAGTCACTTCTCTCCTCCAATGGCATCAAGGGCAAGAAGGCTAACAGGGCCATGGAGAACTATGCCTGGAATGTGAGGATCATCAGAGGTCAACTGGACAGGATTGTGGCACTCAAAAAGAAGTGTCGGATGGCCATGGAACAGGTGAGGGACATGTGTAGCAAGAGAGTAGGTACAGTAAAAGAATTCTGGAACTTGGAAGTAATTTGATATGTTGCCATAGAAGAGATGATAAAGGTGTAGAAAAGGTACTGGAAAGGGAGAGATAGACATGGAACTGATTGAAAACATAGAACACAAGGATTGTGAGGAGAGGAACAATGAGAAAGATCACTCTCCCAGATACAGCTGTGTACATACAATACCTTGAATACCTTCTTTGATGACTGTGTCTAACTGAATTGTTAACCTCAAGTGGGAGATAAAACTACACTGTTGAGATGTATAAGAACCTTCCACCTGAGGCCATTGGAACATGCACATGGACTCCTTATTGTAGCACTTATCAACATTTCTATTTTGCATTATCTGTGCAATATTTTTCATAGATTTAAAAAAGAGGCATAACTACTGTATTAATACATGAAAGACTGATAGACCTTTTCTTTTCAACAGGTTGAGTCAACCAAGGTAACCCTAGACAGCCTCATCATGCGGGAAAGGTCACCTTCAGTAAGGGAACGCCCTCGCTTGACCTTGGCCAATCGCCATAATACAACAGACAACCTCACCACCTACGGGAGCCTGGGACGCTCCCCCACCACTCCCAGTAGTGAGTGTAAACCCAAGAGCATCCTGAAGAAAAGCAACTCTAACCTTGAGTCCAGCAGTGTCGGGTATGTGAATGAGGAGTACCGTATGTCGCCCAGCACCTCCTCTACTGTAATAGGCGACGATGAAGAGTCCACCGAGTTGCTAAAACCTCCTTTGCTCCACTCATTCAGCTACACCCCAGGCTTCAGCTATGAGCAAAACACTGCCCTGTAGTAACAAGACAGGCTTGTTAGACACTGATTAGTGTGCGTAGTGTGTTGCTGTATGAGCTGTACCCCTTAACTGGTAGTGATGGATGTTGACACTACAACTGTATTGCTAAGAATATAAAAGGATGTTGTGTATTAACTTAACGACTTGTTTGACACTGAATACCTTTCAATATGGATCTGTGTAGTGTGTTGCTGTATCCCGACCTGGTAGTATATGGTGTGATGATACTACAGCTGTAATGCCAAGACCATACAAATTTTAACCATAGAACGAATTTAAATTTTATGGTAAAATGACACCTGTTTTTCAGTAGTAATTCAAACCCTTGTGTAATGATTGAATATTTTAAACTTCACAGGAAATAGAAAAAATATGTACCGTATGTATATGGTTATTTGGTATTTCTTCCAATCAATAACCCAAACCTTGTGTTTTGATTACTGTATCATTAATATCCACATAAAGTGGACCCTCGGTACCCAACCTACCATGAAACACTTAGATCTGTTAGAATTAATTGATATCATGCTAATGATACTTGCAATACGTCCATATGTGGCATCTTCAGCAATTCTGAGCTTCGGAAAGTCCTTCTGTAGTGATTTTTTCCCCAAATGAAACTTAATAGAAAACAAGCCTTATTGATATGAATTCCAAGGTGTAGAATTCATGATTTTGCCACAAACAGAAAGTATAACCCATTTGTCATTTTTATATTTACCTCAAAATGCTAATGTAGCATTTATACAGAAATATTATATTACTTCACATATTAGTGAGCCATGTAAACTACACCACAAAAACTAGTGAAACGAGTCATCATATTTTACCAGAAATTGATTTTATATGAAAACTAATTTCTCCTAATGGGTGCTGCTATTGTGTACATTTACTACCCATTCACAGCTTTGTATACCATTGCTCTGTAGATATGTAGTTTCTCACCAGTTATTTATTTTGTATATATATTGTACTGAATGTTTTACTAATACCATTTGCCTATGGGTATGGAATAGCAGACCTTTGGGAGTGAGAGTTTGGAGAATGGTAATCTATACTATACAGTATAATGGAAACCCCTAAATGTTATATTATACAGTACTGTGATTGGTTGGGATAACTTAAGATAGAATATTTCCTATTTTTGGTCAACATCCAAACAAGTTTAACAAATTACAAGGCAGTATATAAACAGACAGGCACTGTATAAGGTTTATAAAGAGTGTCACTTGGCTGAACCTAACATGGCAACATGGGGAAAGTTCCTCTATACCCGTAATCTCGATTTTCTAGGTACAGTTTCCGTCTTTACAGCCAGTTTTCCATATTTGTAGTCACAGAAGGAGATTGATTACCCGTTAGGAGGCATTCAAATTCAATACAAAGGAAAATGACTTGCTTAAGGTGGTGGTGTATTATCTGTGTATACTAATTAGTTAGTCATATATTACCATGCCAGAGTACTAGACTCAGCCCTTACCTCCATGTACAATTTTTCCCAAATTATTGTCTAGATATCTTTTACATTCCACACTGACTATATAAAGATACTGATAATAATAATACAGTAATAATAATACCTGTAATACAATACAGTAATATAAAAGTACAGTATACTTTATTTTGATTACATGGTCATATGCATTTTACATATTTTTCTTTTAATTTGCAGATGTTGTTGGTGCAAAGATAAAAAAAAATCATACATTTTTTTTAAATTACAAGAACAGTCGGGAAAAAATTTAATAGTGGTGAATTTTTCATAGATATTTTCACTGTATCTGAAAAGGGTAGTACAGTGGTCCCTCGATTAACGAGCACAATCCGTTCTAGAAGGTTGCTCGTTAACCGAAAACTCGTTAACCGAAACCATTGTTTCAATGGGTTTTTGGGTAATTGGTTCCAGCTCACCGAAAATTGCCTAAATTCAACAAAAAAGGTAGTAAAGTACACTTACTTTGAGGTGTGTAAGTAGAAGGCTCCTGGATGATGATGATGATGATGATGGGAATTAGAATGGGGGTGAAGGAGAAGGGAGAAGAGAAGGCATTAGGGTGGAAGAGAAGTCACCCCATGGCGCCATTTCACCCATAAAATTTTAGTTCTCTTGGTGTAATTCAAGATTATTTTCTTTAAATCAACACTGCACTGCATTATATATTGTCAATATGTAAAATAAATTTCAAAATGACCAATAATTTGCTTGTAAACACAGAAAAAAAGCTTTTAGTTGAAGAGAGTCTCAAGCAAGATGTTACCTCCACTGAAAAGACACAAAGACTGACGCCTGTATGCTGTGTTGCCAGGCTGGATGGCGTGCCACAAACTAGTGACCTTGCCTTCAATTATGTTCAATAATTGTTAAAATGACTAAAAAATTTAATATTAAACTTTTAAAATTATTAAATAGTATAAACTTCTTAATATTTACTAAAAGGGTAAGGAATTTAAGCCCTAGAACCGATTACTGTATTGGCGGACTAATACTACAGCTGGTGGACCTCCAAATGCAAGCTAAAACATGTGGAGGTCGGCTCGTAAGAAACTCGTTAATCGAGGGATTGCTCGTTAACCGAAGTTAAGAAACTTATGGAAGGTAACTCGTTAACCGAAATCTCGTTAACCAAGGGACCACTGTAGACCGAAGTAATATGATTTTACTTTATTTTTTAAGCTTATGAAAATAATAGATAAAAAAGTACAGTATAAAAGATTTTCATATTTTCTTGTAGCTTATGAAAATTATAGGTATTTTTCTATGTTTAGATATATCATAGAAAAAATATATAATTCAGGACAGACACTAACCAACCCACACTTCCTGAATAGTCTTCTTGTGGGAAGTTATTCTCTCTCTGTCTAGTTTTCATTACAGTACATATACAGTATATCATTTGTTATTCACCAGTTCAAAGAGTTAACTTGAGCATAAATATTAATAGTAATGTGTATGAAAGAACTATGGTAAGTTAGATTGTTTTATGTAAACACAACATGGATGGACTGTACTGTACTCCACTGTACTCTGAGGGTGAGGGACATCTAGGAAGCAACTCGCCAAATTTGACCTATGAGAACTCGCTGAATTTATTAGTTTTATGGTCTTGTCTTGGTTTGTTTTGGTTTTACAATAATTTTCCAACTTTGCTTTGTTCACTAATTTTTTACAAGTGTTAGTGAATTCAATGAAAAGCTTCTGAATTGACAAATGAAAACACAACCTTATACTGTACACATCATGAGAACGTTACAGCATATGGATGTTAATTTGTACAATATATCATCCCTGAACTCCATATTATTCTGCCACTTTCTAAATTTAGAAATTTCTTTAAAACCACTGCACAAGAGTATATATATTAGTTTAGCTGACAAGTAAAGCATTTTCTTTTTATCTGCTCTAAACAATAAGACCACATGAAGAAATGAGGGTTATAGAGAAAATAGGACACAGGAAAATTACACAGGATGATTTACATAACAGGAGATAATATAGTTATAACAGAGAAAGACAGGACTAAAGAGAGATAAAAAGGGTAGAATATTATCCACAGAAGAGTATTGGATAGTGTGACAATACAGTATGCTGCTGACCACCAAGTGTGCTAAATTGAAATGATAGGCTAAAAATAACCAACAATGAATGAAGGAACATTACTGTCCTGGTCATGTTTCTCTGAGTGATCAAGACTGTGTACTGTACTCTGTCACCTTCCAAGTACAGTACAGGTACACCACCGATTTTCCGGCACCCTTGGTTCCAAAGCCTTGATGGTTTATCCGTTTTGCCGGACCAACCAAGGTCGCATAATAATAATTCAACAATACACCTTTGACCCACTAATTATACACCTCCTGTGTCTCTAAAGCACCATAGACTGCAAGAAACTTAAATTAAACAAATGTTAAATATAAGTTAAATGTAAAAATGCCATTATTTTGAACAACATATTACTGTATAGTACTCACTTTGTACTCAAATGTACTACACTAAAGAACTAAAATTTTTATCTCTTTAGCAAACTATGTGATGTTTATACTTAAATTAATCACTGGTATATTACAAGGATTCCAGCAATGCCAGTTATATTCTGTTAAGTTTAAGTCTAGTCAGTGACCTTCACCTGGGCTGGGAGGGAGGGAGAGAAGTAAGTTAAGTGCTCTCTCGTAATTTTGTCTGGACTAAAGGAGGTGCCGGACAAACAGTTACGGAAAATCGGTGGTGTACCCGTACTGTACAGTATCCTTCACTGCCTATGATGTGTAGATTGAAATGAAACACAAACATGAAAGACTTCTATGTCAAACAGGAAACAGTCAAACTGGTAAGGGTCAAATTTGGTTGAAGATGCTTGCAGGAAGTTTACATTCTGTGCAGAAGTTTATTGATGATGTGTGTTAAATGAAGATATCCAGTAGTCTTTCAGGGTTGTGAAGAGTTTATATATATATATACTGTGTATATATATATATATATATATATATATATATATATATATATATATATATATATATATATATATATATATATATATATATATATATATATATATATATATATATATGCTGCTAACCACAAGGAAAGAAGAAAACACGAAGTTCCAAGCACTTCCGTGTAATTCACATCTTCAGGGATGGGTACAGACTAAGGAGAAGTACAAAACAAGGTGTATATATACAGAGGAGGGTGAGATCAGGTCCACAATGGTCAGGTATTAGGGAATGACCCTATTAATCTTTAAATAGCACCGCAACGGTCCGTAGTCAGGTCAGAGGGTAAGGTGACCCAACCTTCTCACCTGGTTACAAATCTTCTTAATTACAAAATTGTCCAGTTTGTACATGCAAGTACTCAAATTCATGTTAAATGCTTCGGTATGTTTAATGAGACTAGATTCTATAATGTTCCTACTGTCAATTGAATTACAAGGTAATATTGAGGAGGCATTATCCCAGTCAATGCAATGCTTGTTATCCCTCAAATGAACAAACAGAGCATTGGATTCCTGGCCTGTCCTAACACTATATTTTTGTTGTTTAAGTCTAGTTACAAGATCTTTACCTGTCTGGCCTAAGTAAAACATATTACATTCCTTGCAAGGAACTTTATAAATGCAACCAATTGTGTTGTTGTGGGAGT